CCACGAAACCCAGTCAAATACTTGGCATTGCTCTTGGTCACAGCAAAAGGCAGAAGAGAGGAGCCTGTTTTGTCCCGCACATTCTTTGAATACCTTTTAAGAACAAAGGAAGCTCCGAAGGAATGTTACAAGGAACGTCCTCGGATCCACAGGGCCAGCTTGGAGGATGGAGCCCTTTAGGATCGCTTTATTTCGGGCGTTTTCTTTAGAAGGTCAGAGGAGTTTCCAGGGAACCTCCTGGCCGTATTCCGAGCGACCCAAACGGTGCCAAGAATGGCGGGCAGGGCAGGACCCAGCCAGAGCGGTGGCCTTCTTCAGGTGGGGCTGGCCACAAGTTCCTCATCCTCATCTGGAGTCTCCGGGAAGGGGGCAGCCTAGAAGGGCAGGGAGGGGGAGACAGAAGGCCTTGGGAGAAGACCACTTGGAGGGCAGCGGGGGGGGGGGCTCCTGAGGGCCAGAGCCGGACAGCACCTTTCCCAACTAACTCCTTTTTCTGAGCATAGAAAGTGTTCCCCACCACTTGTGCTCAGAAGAACAGTGCTGCGGTTACCTACAGCTGCTCCATGTTTTATGTGTGTGTGTGTGTGTGTGTGTTGCTTTGCATCAAAATAGGTGAATTGCCCAGTAACCTGAACTAGATTCAAGCTGAGTCGTTTGGGGTTCAGGGTGTGGTGTGAACCAGGTCACAGACTGAATCATAATCGAGTTATTCACAGGCTTTGGCGGTGGGTGATGTTTACTTCACTTTGCACATGCTCGAGCCACGAAGAGGCCGGATCCCTTTCGCAGATTCAGCGGCTCAAGTCGGCGAGGCTTCTTTGGGGCGGCGGGTCCGCAGCGGCCATTCTCTCCCGAGGTTTGCCACGGGGGGGGGGCAGATTGGGGGGCGGGGGTCTCCGAAGGGCTGGCCACGCCTTCCCGGGGCTGCAGCCTCAAAGGCGACCGGGAGGGCTCCGGGGAGATCGGGCTCCTCCTCTCCCCGCTCGGGACGGCGGCGCAGTTCGGCCATCGGGCTGGGCCGGGGGGGGAGTGGGGGTGGCGTGTGACGGCCCGTCCCGTCCCGTGGCCCCCTCGGGGAAGCCCCACGCGGCCCCGGGGCTGACTCGGGCGGGGCCTCCGGCTGACCTGGCCCCGCGGGGGGGGGCGCCGGCAGGGCGGCATTGCTCAGTCCCTGGAGCCACCGCGCCGCGCCTCGCGGCCTCGCCCAGCCGGAGCTGCCGGGGACGCGGGGCGGGTGGCCTGAGGGGGCTCCGCTTGGCGCCGCCGCCTCCCCGCCCCGGAGCCCCGCCGGAGGAGCCCCGTGGCGGGCGGACCGGCCGGGGGGCGGCGCCGCCTGCTTGGCCCGNGAGCCGCTTCCCGGGCAGGTCGGCGGGCCGCGGCGGGGGCGTTGCGGGGAGGCACGTGGCCCGCCGCGTCCTTGGCAGCTGCTCGCCCTTCGCTGCCGGCGGCGCCCGGTGAGTGGCCGGGAGCGGCGTAAGGGGAGCGGCTGCCGGTCGGCCCTGGCGCGCGGCTTCTCGACAGGCCGGCCCGGACTGGATGGGCCCCCTGGGGGCTGCCCGGAGCTTCGCGGGATCGGCGTCTCTCCGGCTCCCCCGATCGGTCCGCGCCACCGGACCGAGGAGCGAGCCGGGGCGGGCGCGGCGGGAGGAAGGCGAGGGCAGAGCGGGGAGGCTCCGGGTCCAGGGCGCCCCCGGCGCCGCAGGTGGGGGAGGGGCGGTCAGGAGCGCGGGAGCCCCGCCGGGTCTCCCCGTCGCCCACCCGCTGCTCGAGGGCCTCCCCGGGAAGCGCCGCCGGAAAGCCGGGGAGAGCCGGGCGGTCGTAGCGTGCCTGGGCCGCTGCCTGGTTGGCGCTAAGAGGGGCCGGGGGGGGTTCCGGAGTCCTGCAGTCCCCGAGGCCGCTTCGGTCCTCTCCGTAGCGGAGGGTGCAGGGACGGGGGGAGACCCGGGTCGCCCGGGCAGTCGTGCCATCGTCCCGGTTTCAGGACCCGGATTACATTTGGGTCCTAATAAGGAAACCTGGAAGGGTCCCTTATTCTTTTGCAATGAGGGGATTGGCCAGAAAGTGCTGACTCGGCCCTGCTAAGAGGAAAGTTTGGACCCTTTTCCTTAGAAGGAAAGGCGAGCTAGGGGGACGCAGGATGGCCAGGGAAGAGCGGCAGTGCCAGGATCAGATTCCAGGCAATTCCGTCTTCAGTGAAAGAAGGGCTACCTTCCCAGTCCCAGGTGGGATTTCCATCCTTCGGGTGGCTGTAGATCTCTGTCTATGATCTGTGGTTGAATAACAATAACCCTCCAGTGTCTATGGAGATTCTCAGTCATCCAGGTGAAAAAGCATCTTTGGGATAATAGTAACAAAGTTGGAAGGAACCTTGGAGGTCTTCTAGTCCAACCCTGTGCTCAAGCAGGAGACTATGTACCATTTCAGACAAATGATCATGTGAAGTCTTAATACCACTGCATAATGCCTTGGTAAAACCATACTTGGAATATTGCATCCAGTTTTGGTCACCATGATACAAAAAAAAATATTGAGACTGCAAAGAAGAGCAACAAAAATGATTAGGGGACTGGAGGCTAAAACATATGTGAGAATGGGATATCTTTTTACTGCATTCTTGCCTGACTGTTAAACTACTGCAAGTTTGTTCCGCTGTGCTGAGAAACAGAAAGAGCACATTATAAAACTTGCAAGATTAGAACAACAAATGAAACAATCTTGTGGCTATTGCTGTGTTTGTGTGTACACATTACAGCGTTAGGGCCAGGTTGAACCTTGAGTGCAGGAGGCTGGCTCTTCTTTGTCTCTCTGAGTTCACCCGGACACTGACCTGGCTCAACAGGCCGGCCTTGTTGACCCGGCCGGGCCTTTGCCAGTCTTGGGGCCCATTTGTCTGAGTCAGGAACCAAAGGCTCTTTTTCCCCCATGTGATTTGGCCCACTCATGCCGCTTTCAGTGGGCAGAAATCTAGCACAGCTGCCAGGCTGCTACTGATCTTCACTCGCTTGCTTCGTGGGCTTCTGCCCAGTGGAGAATAAGGAAAAGGGGTTTTGGAGCCTATTAGAGTATTTATTTGGAACATTCAGGCTTTCTTTGCTGATAAAATGTATGCAGCAAAAATTACTTCACTAATCTATGCTAGCTGCTTTTGCTCAGACTGCCAGCAATTGGGAATAAACTCTCCCATCTTCCGCAGACCCAGCGATTGTCTCTGGGCAGGTGCAAAGGAGGCGCAAAGCCCCCCCCCCCAGCTGCTGAGGCCCTGCCAGGTGCTGAATGTGCCAAAAGCAGGAGAACAAGAGACCACCCAGTGATGAGAGAGGCTGTTGGGGCGAAACCCACCTTCTGGCTGTGGGCGCCTAGGGGTTGCCTTGAAGAGCTGGAAGTTTAGGAGCTTCTCCCAGTCCAAAATACAGCAATTTGGTTACCAGGATGTATTTGCCAGGTAGCCCAAACGAAGTTGGCATTTAGAGGATGAGATTGGATGAAAGTAGTTGTACTACTTTCAAAACCCCTTCATATTTGTATTCCTAATTCTGTATCTATTTGTTGCAAATATTTTATGCCAGAAAGTTCAAAATCCAAGTAATAACAGAAATATTTGTTGGCAAAGGATGAACCGAATCATTTCAGACAATGCCACAGTCAGTGTCTCCTGTGAGTCTCTGTGTTGTGTAAGGGGGTGGATCAGGACGGCCTGGCATTTCAGCTCCCTTCGGCTGTCTCGCCCTCCCCCCACCTAAGGAATGCCAGATTTGTTTGCAGCCTGTAAATAACCTGTGTGCCCAGGTAGATGGCACATAGGTTGACTCATTTTATCTTTAGGGTCTTCTGTTAGTCTCCCTGTTAGGGATTTGGGACTGTGGGAAATCCCAAAGCAGAAGAGCCTGTAAGCCACTTTTAAATATTAAGATGGTAAATGTGATAGAGTAGCCCTGGGTTCCAGAACATTTATCTTTGATGAGATTTAATCAGAGCCACTGAGTGTTTATTTTAAACTATTGCTAATGAGGAAACGGATTCGCTGGTGCATGACTCGAAAAGCCTTTCCTGACATTGCATGTTCATTTTCTGTGAGGGGCTGTGAGAAAGAAGCTGGCCCAAGAGACACTGCCCAAGGAAGGGGCCAATGGGGGGCAGGTGAGCCTGCAGCTGGGCAGTGGGTGGGCAAGGGGCTCCAAAGGGGCCTCCCTAAGTTCTCCGGGTGCAGAGCGGATGGTGGAGAACTGCAATTCCAGACTCTTAACGTAGCCTTATAGTAAAGCATCCGTTAGCTCACCTAGTGGTGCTTCCTGTCTGGCCTGGAAACCTGACCTTCACTCCCGGTGATGCTTAGGGAGCTTTCCAGAAATGCCCCGGCCTTGTCATTTGGGGGGAATCTGGCTGGTTGGCGTTCTGTGAGCGAGAGGCAGCTGATGAAAGCTTTCCAGAACACAGTTGCAGCCCAGAATTCACAATGCCTTAGGAATGATTTCAGGTTGTTGGCAGAACGCGAAAGCTCCTGTGACGGACGAGCGTGGCTCTCTCCTCCATCAATTCTCAGCTGATTGTTCAGGGCCTTTCGCGAATTGGGTCCTGCCCAGGCTGGTACTGGGACCGGCAGAGCCCCCCAGGGTGTCTGCAGCAGAGAGAAACCCTCTGCCCAGAACTCAAATGCTTGCATGTTGAACGGCTGACTGGGAAGAGGCTTGGGGAGCCATTGCAAAGCTCCAGGAATGGAAGCACAGAGTCGCAACAATGCTTGAGTTGCTCTCCGTAATCAGGGACTTCTTCCTGGCTTGCTTAAGGCTCCAAGGGGAAAAGGCGCTTCATTTGGCTGTGACAAAACAGTGAGTCAGAAGAGGTTCCACCTTCAGCTGAGGATTTCTGTTTTGCCAACAGCTCCACAAAGGTATGCAAAATCAGCTGATAGATGAAGATTGAGGGGCACCTTGGCAGCCACAGGCACACTGGACCGGTAGCTGCAGCATCCCGGAAAGCGGAAAGCTGAAGACAGGAGGAACATGGAGAATACAGGTACTGAGATGCGACTAATGGATCTTCCCAAACTTTTCAAGTTGCTGGAGGAGAGAAGCAGAACCTGCTCTAGCACCTCCAGAGGGTTAAGGCCAATTTGACCATTGGAGCCCTTTGGAGCAACTCGGGACCGGCAGGGCTTTGGGGGCAGAGAGGTTCTAGGTGTGGGGAATATCTTGTTGCTCCAAGTTTCATGCATTGGAAGCATCCTTCAAAGAGGACGTTGCTGAGATCCAAGTCTTTCCCAACCCTCTGATTTGTTGCTTGTTTGCGCATCTGTTCTGCTTTCCAGAATGTACTGAAAGCCCCCTTTGCTCTCCCCTCTCCCACTGTTCCACCTAGAGCAAAACCGGATGTGGCCAGGGCTGTCCGCAGGGTTGGTCAAAAAATCATGCTGGTTGTGTGGTCACTGCTTTGCTTGTTTTTTACATGCAACACAGCTTTCATTGCACCATTGTGAGCGCCATCTTGACGTTTTTCACCAAATTCTGCAGGTATCCCAGACATACTGTAGTTCCAGGTGTTAATCACCATTATCCTCCCCAGATGTTCCCTTCAAGCTGCATTGGTAGCCCCAGGAGGTTCTTGAGATCTCCTGCTGAAGGAGAACCACGTTTGCCTACCACACTTTGCTTAGGTTGATTAAAAAAAAGAAAATAAATTGGGTTTGGTTTTCTCCTTGCAAACCTGTCATTACCAAAGTAGCAACCTAGAAAAAGGGGCAGAGCCTCAGTTGTGCGGTGGGTGGTCTTAACCTCCCTCTGGAGGAGCCTCTGCTCCCTTTGGGGTCTTCGGAGCCGCAGAAGAAGGGCAGCCGGAAGGCAGCCTTTGGATGGGCAGCATGGGTGATACTCCCCAGGCAGGCATCCTCTTTGGCTTCCCACTGCCCCCCTCCCCAGGGGTCCCTGGGAAAGCCGTGCCAACCATTCTGGCTCCTGGCTAGAGATGCCAGCCAGAGGGTCCCTTCCCCCTTCCTGCCCACAGCTCTGGCAGGACCCCTCTGCTGCTCTCAGCCCTGCTTCCTCTGTCTCGGCTGTTGGGGAAGCATCTATGGGGCCTGGCTCATTTGCTTGTTTCTCAGAGAGAGGCCAGGCAGGGAGATCTGCAGGCTGCTGCTTGCTCTGCTCTTCAGAGCCAGCTCGAGCTTGTCGAGGCCTATTTGGGGGAGGAGGCAGCCCCGAGTAGGTTCTGGTTTGCAGCCTGCAACAAGCCTCTTTCTTTCTTTCTGCTGGGGGGCTTCACAGCCAGGTGAGCAGAGGAGGAAGCCCTGGATGTGCAGAGATGCCGTCTGAAAGCAGGCTGGGAATAGGAGGCTCTGGAAAGCGTCAGAGGAAGCATCACTAGCGAGCAGAGGGCTGGGGGAGACTTAGAGAGCCACGGCTCCTTCTGGCAGCAGCAACGGAGATCGGCAAATGCCATAGCCACTCCAGTCAGCTGGGCCCGGCGTGCCTTTTCCTTGGTGGAAGAGGTTTAAAGGAGGAGGACCAGGCTGGAAACCCCTGCCTCATCTGGGTATTCATCAGGGGGTCTTTGTGCAGCAAAAAACAGGATGGCTGCCCTTCTTCCTCCAGCATTTTAAAGCTGCCATGACACAAACGTTGCATGTGGGATTCTGCGTGGTTCCGTGGCTTGCGCAGGGCACTTGCTGTGGGCCTGTGGCCGATGCGCCTGCCTTCCCTCTGTCAGAGGGCCCATTTTGGCATCAGCTGCCCCAGAGGGTGAGGAGCAGAGGAGAAACTGAAAGCCTCCCCGGCATTAAAGGTTTGTGGAAATACTGAGACGGTTCTTTCAACAAAAGGCGGAAAGCCTGGGGGGGGGGGGGAATGGAGGAATAGGATTTTCAGCAAGCAAGTGACACCTGCTGCTTGACATGTGTCACCCCGTGTGGTTGTGAGCACACTGATCTTTTCCTTCCAGTAAAATCAGCTGGGTGTGACATTTGTAAGGACGACATGGGTAACTGGAAACAAGGGGCACAGTTCAGTGATGAAGAATGGGGAAGGACAGGATTTACATTCTAGGCATTTTTAACACGGCAGTGAGAACTTGCTTCTGAAAGAGTTCATTTTAGTCGGTCGCAAGCCATTTACTGTTATTTTAGACAAGAAATGGGAACAGTAGAACTTCAGAATGCCATTTGGATCTATACGTTGCTTAGATAGTAGAATGAGTTCCCACGGTCCCAGACCCATCCTGCCTTTCTATGTCTTTTGTGTTATTTATGTCTCTCTCAGATTGCAGTGCTATGTTTGGAAAGTTATATTTTTACACTCTTGATTAATCAGATGTCCTGTTTCCTTCTGCAAATGAATTGTGGTTTGATAACAGATTGAACTGTTCAGGTTTCTCTCCAACATACTTGTGTTTACACATTGGAGTAGCTACGTTGTTGTGAGATGAAAGACAAACAGGAATATTGATCCAGCAATTGCTAAATTACCTCTCTTACTTCTGCTTTGAATTCGATATTTATTTATTTGTTTAAAATGGATTGATCTGATGAAGGAAGCAAAAGGAATTTCGGGGAAGGAAATGAGGGACAACAGCCTGGCCCAGGCTTCCCTCCTTGGGGCTTCTTCCCAGGGAAAGTCTCCCATCCATTTGCTCCTGCCCAACGGAAGCCCCCCCCCCCCCCCCGGCTGTGCTCAGCAGTTCCTTCTTTCCTGGCAGGAGGAAGAGTCTTTGGTGGGAAGCGGAGCAGCTTACCGGGGCCCCATCGTCTCCCAGTGCTGCAGAAGCTGGTGGAGTCTCGTGCCCAACTGCAGGAGGAGAAGTTGCAGCTGCAGCAACAGTTGCTGCTGCTGCAGGAAAAACTCGCTGGGCGAGAGAGCGGCCCCCTCTCTCCGGCTGTGCCGCTGCAGAACAAGGTACTTTCAGAGGAGAAATCGGGGAGGCTGCGGATCCTCCAGGTGACTTTGATGCCCTGACCGGCCCTCCTTTCCTCCCCCCTCCCCCCCACATGCATCCTCCCCCCCCCCGTGGCTGGAGAAGACCGGAGGAATCCTGCCTCCCACACTTCTGCGTCAGCCAGAACGTCCTAGTATCTCCTGCACCCTCCTCCTCTTTGCCTTCTCTGTGGCTCAACAACACTCTGATGTGCGTGCGAGTCTAGTGCCAAGGCCCAAAGGCTGTGTTCGTATGATACCCTTAATCACCATGACCACAGGCAAAACACCTGCATTTGTGTAATATGTTGAGCTTGTTTCATTTTAACATGGGCCAATGTGTCTATGTTTCCTGGCATATTATCCAAAACCACAAGGAAAACAGCTATAATACATAAATAAGTAAGCAAGCAAGTAAATAAAATAAATAAATAAATAAATAAATGCAACTAAGAAATTGGAGGATGGGGACTAAAAAAAAGTCACATCCAAAATGGGCAGTGAAAATTTGCATAGAGCTTTTAAAATACCTTGTGCTATATTAAGAGTTGTAGAATTGGAAGGGATTCTACCCCGTGTTTCTACACGCTCCTTCCTGATTCAGGGAATGCTAAGTCTCTCTCTCTCTCTGGGAAGGGTGGGAGGACAAACCTAGTTTGTACATTGTAATGATTGCCTGCTTCCCCTTGGTTGAGTATACGCATTTTCCTTTGGGCCAGAGGTCTTTTAAGGCATCCTCTGTTTTCCCGCCCAAAGAATGCTCCTTCTCATGGGTGACCCTCCACTGCTGCCTGTCCACTTCGTACTCTCCCACTTGTTCCTCTGAGGAAGCACGGGCTTGTGTCACCTTTTAATTCTAGCTGTTTCATTTGGGAACCACCAAAGCAAATCCAGCTTGCCAGCAGGCCTAAGTGCTTAATCGGCACTTAATTGGGTCCCTTCTGATTAATCTGCAGCTCCAGACAGATCGGAACCTCTGGACATATATTGAATCTTGTAGCTTCCTGGCCTAGAAAGGGAACTTGAGTTAGCTCAATCCCAGTCATGACTTGAAGAGAAGTGGCCCTTTGGATCCGCAGCTGGGCTTGTTTGCAGGAAATGATCTTAAGTGCTTAGAAAATGCCAAAACTGCCTTCCCTGCCTCCTTTCAGCTTCCCCTGCCTTTCTCAAGTCAGGCAAAGGAGGTCTGCCTTCTCCTGCTCTGGGCCTCACTGTCTGCATGAAACTTTCTCAGCACTTGGATACCGTTTGTGGGCTTGGCTTGTTCATTATTGCGCAGGATCTTATGACTGTGCTATAGATGGAAAGATGTGGAAAGAGTCCCCTTTACTCAGTTTCTGGTGAAACCCAGTTGTCTGTTCATCTGTGCTTCCTGTTCTTTTAATAAACCCTGGAAGATTTGCACCCGTGGCTGACATCATAGTGCACAGCCTGGGTAGGCAAGATGGGCATTTCCAGGCATCCCTTTCCATCCCTGTTTCCTCTTTGCTCACCAAGGAATTGACAGGAATTGCAGCTTAAGATGACTTTTGCGCAGAGGCTGGTTGACAGTTCACGAATCTGATGTTTGGGATATGCCAGTCAGAATTAAATATTTAGAAGCTAAAAACTGAGCTGTATTAACTGCGAAGTGCAGAAGTAGAGAAATGGAGCTGCGAGACCAGAGCTAAACTTCAAACAACCGAATAACTTGTAAAGCAGAATTTGATGGGTGGAATTTAACTTACTATTTCCTTGCTCCTTGTGTGTAAACGAGCGTTGTGTTTCAGTCCCTCTTTTGTATTGGCAGCCAGAAAGCCTGAAGGACAGACTCCCAAAGCCAGCTCAGGAGATGAACAGGCTTCATTCTACGTTGGTGAGTTGCAGGGCCTCTCGCCTCTTGCTTGGTTCCAGTGAGGACTTCCAAGGCCTTGCAGCATCAGTTAGAATTCCACCGACATGTACGAGGCGGCCTTAAATAACGGAAGGAATTCCAGGCAGAGTGCTGCATGGTTGGACTTTGGTAATAGTTTGACAACCCCAACTGTTGTCATTAGCCAACAATTAGTCATTAGCCATTTGTGTGCCAAAGCTTCCAAAGAGCGATGTGTCTTATGGGAAGTGCAGCACATTGAATTGCTAACCTTGCATTATTTCTGAAACTCCCAAAACCGGGTTTGAAGCAGTCGCAGTACTACTCACATTTAGGCAGACGGGGCTGCATCAGTGCCGGCCTTCTGCTCTTGCGCTGGTCTTTTGAGGAAGGGCTCTGCTCAGGCCTGCTGTTTGCATTGCGGCATGGCAGATAAACCAGGTTCTTCCTCTGCCTCGCTCTCCCCTGGATCCTTCACAAGCCCGTCTTTGACAGTAGCTTCCCCTTCTTGAGCCTTCAAGAGGTACTGGACTACAAACTCCATCATCTACAACTGACAGGACTTTGGGCATGTTGGCTGGGAGTGAAAGGAATTGTGGGCCAGTTGGTGGGAGCTATGAATTGTTGCTTATCAGGAGAAAACCTTTTTGTCTGGGTTTTATTTTTGTTTTTAAAAAAGGGCATGGCCAGAGCAGAGGACTTGCCAGGAGGTGAGAAGCTGGTGCCACCTGTGCTTTGGGCCTCCTGAGGGCCAGTCCCCCGCCTGGAGGACTCTGCTCTGTCTTCCCTCCGCCCGAAGAGCAGGAACTCTGGCTGAGGAAATAAGTACAGGAAACCAAAGTCTCCCTGTCATGTGCATGTCAATACTTGATAATGAAGGCAATATTGTATACAATGCAAAGTTCATTTGTACAAATTATAAGGGTGTTGGTCTGAAGGAAAAATAATAATTACACCCTCCACACATACATACTTTTCATTGCTAGATCAATTGGGGTTTGTTTACCTTGTTGCCTTCATTTGGGTAGGTTCTTTGCTCAACGGATGACACCAGCAGGTGTTGTGTTGCGTAGTCTGACGCTGGAGCGTTCCGCCTAATTTGCTGGGCTTGTTTACAGCCAGTCCCTCTTCAGTTTGGCTGTGAATCATCGGAGTCTTTCCCCTCCCTTTGCAGGCCTTTGCTGAGTCTCCTGATGTCTTCCAAAGATTGTCTGAGAAGAGCTCGCTTGTGCTCTGGCCCTCCTTTCTCTTTGGCAGGCCAGTGCTCGCCCCCCCCCCCGCCATTATTTACTATCTGAGTGCACATAAAGAGAAGCAGTGAATTTAGGTGATAGGAATAATTTAATCCAGTTTTCCATAGTTTCAGATTGCAATGTTTTGCCCCCGGTAAATGCATTAGAAACGAATGCTGCATTCAAATAAGCAAAAGAACTGTGGACTGAATTACATCTTAATCTTCATTCGCGCACACTATTTATAATTAAATTCAGTTAGATGAGGGATGATGCAATGTCTTGGAACCACTGATAAGATGAAATATGCTCTTAATCTTTCCAATATTTTTGTAAAGGACGGCTGTTCTTACCGTCTGGCCTTTTCTCCGGGGGACAGCCTGGCCGTTGAAAGAGTGAGGGGGGTTCTGGGTGCTCTCTGAGCTTGCTTGCTTGTTTGCAGACGTTTCATTACCCAAACTAGGTAACATTATCCCCAGCACTGATGATGTCGCCTAGTTTGGGTAATGAAACGTCTGCAAGGAAACAAGCCAGCTCAGAGAGCACCCAGGAGCCCTCGTTTCAACCCAGAGCTGCAGATATTCTCCTTTATTAGCACTGAAAGAGTAAACCTGACCTCTATCCTTTTCCTGCCTCTTCACAGGGTGGGACAGACTTGGAGAAGCACAGGGATCTCTTGGTGGCAGAAAACGCGCACTTGAAGCAGGAGTTAAAGCTGCGTGAGGCCCAGCTGCAGGAGCTGAGGAGGAGGCATCCGGTCAGGTGCACCAACTGCGCACACAGCCAGGTGAGGCGCTGCTCCTCCAGTTGGCCCTCCGGCAGGTGGGCCTGTTCCTTAGGGGCTTTTCGCCTTCCTCCCGCAGGAGAACGTAAAGTTGCAGGAGAAGCTGGCCCAAGTGAAGCAGGAGGCAGAAGAAGCGAAAGGACGCCTTTCAGAGTTGGACCTGGAGGTGGAGCAGAAGACCAACCGTCTGGCAGAGGTAGAACTGCGGCTGAAGGACTCCTTGGCCGAGAGGGCTGAGGAGGAGGAGCGGCTGAGCCGGAGATTGCGGGACAGCCAGGAAGTGATAGCCAGCCTCAAGGCCCAGCCTCATCAGGTCAAGGTGAGCTGATGGGGCAGGTGGTCCAAGGCCAGTTCTTTCCCTCTTTCCAGCTCTGGGGAGGGCTCAGTCTGGGCTGTTCCGCTTCCTTTAGTATGTCATCAAAACGATGGAAGTTGAATCCTCCAAGACCAAGCAGACCCTCAGCGAAGCCCAGTCGCGGAACCAGTACTTACAGGACCAGGTGGGGATGCAAAGGGAGGTGCTGAAGGAGATGGAGCAGCAGCTACAGAGCTCCCAGAAGGCGGCGGCTCAGCTCAGGGCCCAGGTAAGCCCTCCTGAACACGAGGAAGCGGAAAGAAGGCCGGAGGCAGAGGGGAAGGAGGAGGAGAAGGAGAGGCCTTCCAGGGTGACTCTCTTGCTCGGAGGTCAGGTCGCCACTGGTGCTTCTTTGTCTTTGGCTTCTGGTCCCTTGGGGAAGGACCCGAGTCCAGCTTCCAAAGGCTGCGGCTCCACTTCCTCTTTGCTGCAGCAGCTTTAATCAGCAGGGCACCCTCCCTCTGGTTCCTCCCCTCCTGAAGCCTCAATCAGATGTTAAGCGATGTGGTCGTGAGATGCCACTCTTACTGAAGAAAATCGTAAGTTGAGGAACAGTTTTATTTGTACCTGTAGGGACAATTTTATCCCTGGATTCTAGTGCTGCAGATGGAATAGTATTGCTTAGCTCATTCCGTTCTTCCTTCACAAAGACGATCAATTGATCACCATTTGCAAGGATGAGAGTAAAGGTGAGGGAGAACACAGGAGGGGGTTGCGTTGTCTGCCCTCCCTCTCTAAAACATGGCGAGGCAGAGCAGTTGCACAATAAAAGCTCTGTCTGGAGATGCTGCTCCTCTCTTCTCCTAAGTGGCAGGAGAAGCTCCCCAAGTCCTGCTCAAGAAGAGGGGGAGAAGCCTCAGAACGCCCTGTGTCCATCCTCCAGGTGACGGTGTATGAATCCGAGCTAGAGCAGTCCCGGGAGCAGATGGTGGAGGAAATGCAGAACATGGAGGAGGACAAGAATCGAGCCATTCAGGAAGCTTTTGCTCGAGCACAACTAGAAATGAAAGCTGTTCATGAAAATCTGGCAGGTGCGTAGCTGGGACCTGAAGGATCCTCCTCTGCCAGGTCTGATTGGCTTTCTGAGCGGCAGCTGAGAGACCCCTTCAGGGTCTCCTGAGTTGCCCGATCGCGGTGTTAATGGAAAAGGGAAAAGGCCAATGAAAGCGAGCGCTTTCCAGGCCAGCTTTGAAGTTCTTCCTTTTGCAGGCGTGAGGGCCAATCTGCTCACGCTCCAGCCAGCGCTTCGTACTCTCACTAGTGACTACAACAGCTTGAAGCGCCAGGTCAGAGAGTTCCCTCTTCTGCTGCAAGAGGCTTTGCAGAGCACCAGGGCTGAGGTGAGCTCATCCTGCCGAAGTCCTTTTTCATACCCCAAGGACAGCGGCTCGTGTTCCTAGGAGCCAGAGGGGCCTGGGCCTGGGAAGGGCTGAGGGACACAGAAGCCCCTAAAACAGCTTGTCTTTCTCCAAGATTGGGCAAGCCATTGAAGAAGTGAGCAGCACCAATCGGGAGCTGCTGAGAAAATACCGAAAGGAGCTGCAACTCCGGAAGAAATGTCACAATGAGCTGGTGCGATTGAAAGGTTTGCTCCTCCATTGCGTGTGTTGTGTGTGAAGGGGGCACAGGAGGAGTGTTGGTGGGTCTTGAGTTGTTGGTCAACGTTGCTGATTTGGAATGGGAGACTTGCCTGACATAGTGGAGGCACATTTTGGGATCCAAGGACTTGATTGCACGGGGTGGAGGGGCTGCCTGTGTTTTCCAGAGGTGAGGAGCCTCCTGCTTGACTGAAGGAAGCGGCCATCAAGAAAGGCACTCGTGGGAATTCCCCAGGCAGGGCAAGCGGGGCCTTACATGGCGGATCTCTTGGGTCGAGGACAGGAGTCAGGAAACATCTCTTCCACTTACTTAACTCTGTTTTGAGTCCAGAATTGACCTCTTGACCTTGTAGCAGGGAGAAAGCAGAACTGCTTAATTCATTCTTTTCATCTATCTTCATGCAAAAGAAACAAAAATAGTCTAACCTACTAAAACTCCAGTACCCTTCTGTGGGAGACAGGATAGGAATGCAAGTCAAAATAGGCAAGAAAATGATAAGACAACACTTGTCCACTCTATGGAGGTTCTCAATCATCCAGGTCATGGTTGTCCCAAAGGTGCTTTTTCAAGAGGCAACTGGACTTTCTTACTTATTCTCCAAAGCACCTGACGGTAGAACTAGAAGTAATGAGTGAAAAATTATTAAGAGAGATTCAACTTAGAATTAGGGAGGAATTTCCTGACAATGAGAACAATTAATCAGTGGAATGGCTTGCTTCAGAGGTTGTGAGTGCTCCATCCTGGGAGGTTTTCAAAAATTGGCTGGTCAGCCATTTGTCCAGAATGGTATACGATCTCCTGCCATGGGCACGAAGGTTGGACTAGAAGACCTCCAAGGTCTCTTCCAACTCTGTTCTGTGAAGTTTTGGTTTTGTTCACTGCCGCAGCAACATAATTTGGGGAAGGCTTTGAATTGTCTCTGTTGCTGTTAAACAGAATCATTTCCTGTTAAAGGTAACATCCGAGTGTTTGGCCGTGTTAGGACAATACAAATAGAGGATGGTGAAGGGCCAGAAGCCGTGAATGCAGTGACCTTTGACCCTGATGATGATGCCATCCTACATCTGATGCACAAAGGGAAGCTGGTATCTTTTGAACTGGACAAAGTTTTCCGCCCAGAAGCAACACAGGAAGATGTAAGTGAGAATCTTCTGGGTTAGAGAATCAGGGGGGCCTGGAAGGAAACTCTCATTTGCAGGGTTCCTCAACTGTAAGAGCCAGTTTGGTCTAGTGGTTAAAGTGCCAGGCTAGAAACCAGGAGACGGTGATTTCTAGTTCCACAAAAGCCAGGTCAGTGACTTTGGGGCAGTTATTCTCCTTCACGGTTCTCCTTGAGGGGAAGATAGAAGAAGGAAGGAGTATTAGGTATGTTTGCCACCTTGAGTCATTTATAAAAGAGTAAAGGTGGAATAACAATCTACTAAATAACTGGGGATTCCTAGGGTGAGGCGCTCCTGTTATCTGACAGATCCTCCCTATGATATCTCTTCTCTCTGGTTCACTTGACATTCCAAGAAGCTCTTGGTTAAAAAGACAGTTCGTGCGAATGTACCTCTGGAGCCTCTTTTCACAGGGCACTTCTGAGCCTGTGTCTTTCCCCCCCCCAAAAAAAGGTCTTCAAAGAAGTTCAGGCGCTGATCACATCATGCATCGATGGTTACAACGTTTGTATTTTTGCCTATGGACAAACTGGTGCTGGCAAGACTTACACCATGGAGGTAAGTAAGCTGCTTTCCTTTCCTTGATGCTCTGCCAGGCCTCTTGGTGGCAAAAAGAATTGTAGTAAGAAATTGGAAAGGTGGTATTATGCCAAATGCTGAGGAATGGTTGTTGCAATGTGTGTTCTCTGTGCTTTGGAAAAGGCAACATTTTCTACTAATCAAAGAATGGAACAATGTCTGTTTCTATGGCAGAGATTCCGGAATATCTTGCAATGGTTTCTTTCATTGTTCATCTTACAATAGCAAATTCGTTGGTCAACCAGTGATTATTGATGAGTATAAAATATAAGATAGATTCTTGTCTTCTTAGTCTGTACTTTTAATTACTTTTATTTTTTTCTTTAAGAAAATAAACATTTTTTTTTTTAAAAAATGAAAGGATGGGGACTTGACCCCCACCATTCACGAGTTTCTTCCGGGTTGCTCTCCCCCTCTAGGACTTGGACAAGAGAGCAGGAATGGGGCTGGCAGCTCTTTTTTTTTCCAGTGTCCCCCTCAGGCTGCCCCTTGGGGATATCTCTGGAATGGCCACTTCCGGTTTCTTCTTCCTTGGAATTCCTTTGCTTTTAACATCAACACACGATGCGTGTCTGCCTTTCTCATCAGGGCAGCCTGGATAACCCCGGGATCAACCAGCGGGCTCTGCGGCTTCTCTTCTCCGAGGTGCAGTCCAAGGCTCCCGACTGGAATTACAGCATCACCGTCAGTGTGGCTGAAATCTACAATGAGGCTCTCAGGTAACAGCAGGGAACCAGCCTCTCCAGCGGTTGGGAAGAGGTAATTTGGCAGGTGGGGAAGGGCGACCGCAGCCCCCGCCTGCATTGGTTGGAGCAACAGTCACACTTTTTGCTTCGGAGTTGCACTCGGTGACCTTCCAAAGCACCTCCCACCCCATTGCCCAGCTCTGTCTCCCTCTGGACACAAGTGGACAGTGCACAAAGCTGCCTCGGGCCACAGCAGCCATGCAGGGTTGTGGTTTGCCTGACTTTATGTGGGTTAGAAAGCAGAGGCCGTTTCTGCTCTTTCCTTTTGCATCTTTCAGTAGGAAGTTGCTTCCATCTTTGCATTTTGGCCGTTTGGCCTCTCTTTTCTCTCTCCCGGGATGAATGCCTTCTCCATGACTGCAGCGCTTCCACTGTCTCCCTTTCAGAGACCTGCTTGGGAAGGAGCCCCAGGAGAAGCTGGAGATCAGACTCTGCCCAGATGGCAGCGGGCAGCTTTATGTTCCAGGCTTGACCGAGTTCCCTGTTCACAGCGTTGAAGACATCAACCAAGTTAGCAGGGGCAGGAGGGGCTTCCTGGTGTGGCAGTCCCACCCAAGGTGTCCAGGAGGGGAGGTCCATTCTCTTCCTGAAGCCGTTCCTGAGATGGAGCTTTACCTGGAGTTTGGGAAAATCTGATGGCTGAAGCCGAGATTTTCCCACAACTTGTGCTTCCAGAATGCCCCAGCCAGCTTGTTTGGGATTTTAACAGCCACCAATTGCGTGTTTAGCCCTTTAGCTGAGAGCTCCCCCCCCCCCCATGAATTGGTGCTAGGGTAAGAATGGCTGAAAAGTGGCAGAGACATCCCGGGTGTCTACCAGACAGGGATGAGAAAGGGGGGTCAGAAGGCGGAACATGGCAGATCACGCTGACTCTCTCTTCCCCCCCAAAGCTGCTCCCAACCAAAAACACTAAATTCTCAGACCATTAATCCCATTAGTCATATCTGTTGCAGGGAATTGTGGATGCTGGGTAGATGCTCTTTACCTCCTTGGTGCCTTTGATCCTCTTTCTAAACGCCTCTGGATGGAGGGAAGAGGTTGCTAGGCAGGATTTTGCCAGTCATTCTTTGGCCAAAGTTTCCAGGCTCAGGGAAGTCCATGACGGTTCCTCCACTTTTCCCCAGGTCTTTGAGTTTGGTCACATCAACCGAGCAACGGAGTGCACCTACCTGAATGAACACAGCTCCAGATCTCATGCCCTCCTCATGATCACCGTGAGGGGAACCGACTGCAGCACGGGAATAAGAACCACAGGTGGGTATGGATCCCTCCTCTGATTCAGAATGAATTGCTGAACCTGGGAAATATCGTGACCAGTAGCCAGGATGACTGACGGGAGACGGGCGGACCCTGCTTGGCGCTCCTGCAGTAGCTGCCTAAAAGCTGAGAAAAAGACGGGATTTGCACTTCTGGTTGCCAGTCCTTTTGCAGGACAACTGCATCTCTTTAGTTTAATACTAACATTGTCACTGGAGGTTTTAAGAAGAGACTGGACAGCCACCTGTCTGAAATGGAATAGGGTCTCCTGCTCAATAGGGGTTGGACTAGAAGACCTCCAAGGTCCCTTCCAACTCTATTATTCTATTATTCAGTATTTTCTTAGAAATGTTCTTATGTGCTCCAGAAGAACTCATATACACCTGAATGTATGTTGCATTAGCAAAAGGGGGGTAAATAGTTCTTTACATTTTTCTGTAATGTATGCTCTTTGCAAAGGATTTTCTCCATTTTTTTAATATTTCCATTTTGTATACGTTGGAGGGGGGGTTGAGAAACTACATTACAAAATTCAGAAAAGTGCAGATGGAAAGGATAATTGCATTCTAGAACTTATATTACTTTTTTAGATGTTGGATGGATCTTGGTCCTCCACAAACCCCATAGTTAAAAGAAATAAACTTTGGGCAGCAGCTTCAGTGTTTGCCTCCTCATCTCCTAGGGAAGCTGAATTTAGTAGACCTGGCAGGATCTGAGCGTGTGGGTAGATCTGGTGCAGAAGGGAGCCGGTTGCGTGAGGCTCAATACATCAACAAGTCACTTTCGGCTTTGGGAGACGTGATTTATGCGCTGCGTTCCCGCCAGTCCCACGTGCCGTTTCGCAACTCCAAGCTGACGTATCTCCTCCAGGATTCTCTCAGTGGTGAAAGCAAGACCCTCATGATGGTCCAGGTGAGCATTTCAGAGAAAGGTGGACTTGGGTGGATTTTTCAGGTAACCCAGGGACAAAATGCAGGGTCCTGATTTTGCATGTGACATGCCTGCTCCTTGTTCGATGGTTATGTCAGATGATGCGTATGAGTCCTGTACATCAGTGGTCAATGTTGCTCTCTAGCTGACACTTTTTGGATAATTCAAAAAACGCTTTTATAGCTTGGCTGGGTAACCTCCCAGCTGTGCACATCCTGCTCTGGACATTCACCCCATCCTCATTTGAAAAACCAACCGAAAGCCCCTCTCAGAATTCAGAGCCTGGGTTCCATTGTGCGCATCGGTTGGAGTGTGGGCCACAAAGCACAAACGGGGGACAAGACCACATGCATACTAAAACTGGTTTCTGAATGTGGATCTTTATTTATCCAAAGCAGCATTACAGAAGTTGCTCCCAAAGTGAGATGGGCAGCCTATAAATATAATACATAAATAAAAGCTCAAAGTAACTCCCAAGTCTCCAAAAATAGAAGAAACCTTAAAGGGGATACCCCCTCCAACCCCCCCCCCCCACAATAATTAGTGGATTAACATGATCATCATTATGTAGGTAATTCCCTTTCAGATTCTGTTGGGGTTTGGCTTTCTTGTCTCGCCTGCTTGCTTCCTGAGCGGCTTCTGAAGTGGGCTCCCTCGGTCAGCCATTCTGGGCCTGGAGACTCAGCCAAGGCCCTGGGAAGGGCAGCTGCCCAGCCCCAACATCTCCTCTGCCCGGCCCTTTGGGGGCACCTGGAGCCGCACAGAGGCAGCCTCCTCTTCCTTGTGGGCTGCTGGGGCGTCCTGGGCTGTGACTGCCCATTCCTCCTCCCACTTCACAGGTTTCTCCGGTTGAGAAGAATACGAGCGAGACGCTCTGCTCCCTCAAGTTTGCCGAGAGAGTTCGCTCCGTGGAACTGGGCCCTGGCACCCGGAGGGCAGAACTGGGCTCCTGGACCAGCCAGGAGCACTTAGAGGTACTGGGGTTTCCTGCCTGCTGGGCTTCCTGGGGGCCCCCGGTGTGGCGGATCCTCTCCTTGAAAGTTGCTGTCTCAAACTGATTACAAGTCCCTGGGGGAGGGGGTCACGTCCTTGGGTGCAGCTGCCTTGAGGGAGGGAGCGTTGAGCACTTGCTTCCGAGGGCTCCCGCTCTGCCTTGACGTCTCTGGGGGAGCCCAGTTGGCTCAGCATCTCATCCAGGCTGGCGGCCTCCGTGTCTTCCTGGCACGGACTTTTCCTTTATGGCTACACAGGCTGGGACTCAGCACTGAGGGAGGGATGGCATCTCTCACCAAGTGGAATCTGAATCTGGTGTGGAAAGGGGTGGGGGGTGTCGGGGGGGGGAATCTTGGTTGCTCGATTGCTTTGGCAGACGGAGCCCCTGTCACATCATCTGAAGGAACCTTCCTGGTAACAGCCACAGCTCTGTTTTCCTGTGGCTGCTTGTCTCCAGGTGGAGCCCTCTGCCGCCCTGCAGCCCTGCATCCGGACCCAGCCTTCTCCTCGGACGGGCCGATCAAGCTCACTTCGGGCAAAGCTCCAGAGCGCAGGTAAGAGCAGAAGAGGGCAAGAGATGAGAAAGTTTGGAAGCTGATGGAGCCCACCATCTGTCCCAAGAAGGGGAACAGCAGCAGAGTGCCTGATTCAGCCAAAGAGAGCTTAAAAGGAGTTGATGGTCATAGCCGTGTTGTGTAGCTCCATACACAAAGCAAAGTGCCTGGCAAGTGTAACGGAACAGCAGATGGCATAGGAGCCTCTCCTGTGGTCTTATTCATTGCCACATACCACCCACGGGGTCATACGTGGATCTTCTTCACAAGCTTCATTAGAAACATGAGGCATCAGGTCAGATGTTTATCTGGTTATTTTGTTAGCCAGGTACTTCAGGGAACCTTTTAATAATTTTTAAAAATTTTCAAAGATTTTAAATATGACACAGCTATTAATATATTTGCTTTTTAATTGGTTTTATAGGGGAAATGTTTTTTTTGTGTTGTTTTTTAACATGCTGTGAGCCGCCCTGAGTCCCTCTGGGGAGAAGGGCGGCATAGAAGTTTAAATATAATAATAATAATAATAATAATAATAATAACCTTAAAAACCATCCAAGATATGTTGGTGTTCCATTAATCAAAGCAGTTTTTGCATCCATTTGCTGTTTGTTGAGACAAACTTCAGTTATTCCATTTGATTTCAGACTGAAATTAAGGAGATGCTCTGTTTGCCTCCAGGTGAGTGTAGATACAGGCTTGGATCACAAGATCTTACTCTGATTAACAAGATGTTAACTTCTGCTGTGGCCAGAATGAGAAAGAAAGCAGGATCAATGCTGCCTTTGGGCTTTGGTCAAGGCTGCACGGTTGATCCTTGTCTCCAGAATTAACATATCAGACTGAGCCGGGGACAAGCACAAAATCCAAAAATTCCACTTTCCCTTTTAATGTTGCTTTTTATTCTTTGTAACCCGACTGAATATTGGAAGGACTTGCGTAATGCAAACTGGAGCTCTGTTTTCCAGCCTGCTAACAGTCCACCAAGCGTTATGTGTGGCCAAAGGTGGCAGAAGACAGACAGACTTCAAAAATGGGCCAGATGGGTTTGGGACTGCAGAGGGCAGAAATTCTGAAAATCCTCCCCGGGTATCCTGCTGGGGGGGGGAGCAGAATTTTTGCAGTGTTCTCTTGTGGGCCCCTTCCTGGTCATGTTCCCTGGCCCACCTTGTGCTGCTGGGCCACGGCCTGGTTTTTTTGCCTCTCAGTCTGATTTAATTCTGCAGTCCCTCTTCTGGTTTACCTGCAAAAACAAATGCTACAGAAGACAAGTACAGGAAAAATAAACTGAGGCTGAAAATAGATGTCCTTTGCATGTTGAAATGCACTAAATATATACAAACGAAATAATTTTTACTTTTTACAAAAGTAAAAAACGGACAGATTTGTCCCGCTTTGTTCCTTTGTGCTGAAATGCTTTTGGCCTGGCTCATCAAGTTGCTTCCTTCAGATTTGTCCTCTGCTGGGTCGTGGAAGCGCATGCTCCTCGTGGATGCTACCTCAGCTGCAGATGCAAAAACAGCTGCATTGTCTGAAACGCTTTCTGTGCAGCAATCACAGATGTGATATCCGTACTGAATGGCCCAAACTGACTTTAATTCCAATGGGTTTTTGGAGCACAATGCTTGGCAGTTTTTAAACATCCAGAGTAATAAGAAATAAAGTGCAGATTTAATTTTGCTCAGAGGAAACAAAACAAATAGAACTACTTGACCCATTGACCTTAATGGGTATATTCTAGGAATCATTAATGAAGCCTGCGTGAATCTCCCAGTTCTAAGCAGAGTGCCTGCATCATTTAGATTTGCTGTTCGTTCGCCGGATGTTCTGCACAGGGAAAGTTTTGGGTGCTGCATGCAGGAGCTGGCTAGCCTGGGTGCCTGCAGCAAAACAGTCGGTGTGTTGGGAAGCGGCGGTTCCTTAACTGTTCAGTGAGATTCTCTGCCAGAATTCATTTATGTCTCTGTTTCTTTGTTTTAGGGAAACCGAGGCCAATTCCTGTATGAAAACTGGTTGAGGTCAGGAAAAGCCCTTTTTGAAGAGGACTTTGGGAAACCATGCTGGCTTCTCTAAAACTGCATCCTAGGCTGGGCCTACAGCACAGATGCCCAAGGGTTTAGATCAGTCATCCCCGTCCACTGCTGGCGGTGGGGCCGGGCGCTTGGAACCATACGGACTTCAGGAAAGGGTCATTTCCTGATTGACAACTTTTTAAACACATTTCTTTTTAAAAAGAGCAGAGGCTGTGAACACACTTTGCTCTTATGTACCCTTTCCTTTTTATTTGAATAAAAATGTTGCATCCAGTCGGAATTCTTGAAGTCCAGATAAGTATTGCTAATATTTTATTTTATTGTTCTGTATATGTCATCTCAATTTTATATGGTACTGAAGGGCAATATGAAAACTACGATTGAAATATAGTCAGGCCGAGCTGAAGGTGTTCTGAGTTATCCTTTCATTTCGCACACTATTATTTCTTGGCAGGGCCTAAAGATATTTCTCTTTCCAAACTTTTAAAAAATCCTTCATAGAGTAAGTGTTGGACAGGTTGCTGGGTTAATGGCAGATTCCGCCTCCCCCCCCCTCCCGCCTACTCTCCACCTGCCCATCTTTTTGGTTATCAAATTGATGATGTAATTGTGTTGGGTTCTTTTTCATTCTTTGATCTTGAGCTACATAAGAACATCTAACCAGCATCAGCTATAAAGGAGGAGGATTTATTCTGCAGAATGTAGCCACACAGAGTTCCGGTTACAAACATTTAATAAAATTTGTCATAAGTTACAACTGTATGACCAGCTGGCTCCAGCAATGCAGGGAAAGTCCATTCTGTTCCCCAGTACCGAGACAATTTCCACCGGGGGAAAAAGCCAGTGACGGCTCCGTCTGTTACCAGAAAATCCTGGCTCAGGTTCTGCAGCCCGAAAGGCAAACGGAAAAGTCCTGGTGCAGCCGTGGCATGGATGCCAGCCGCCCTAGACCGGCCCCCCACAATCCAGGATGGCTGGAGAGCAGGACACACGTCAGGAGTTCACCACCATTATCGGCAGGCAGGAAAAGGAGGTGCTGGGCAACGGAAGCCTTTGGCCAGAAGGGGATCGGTCTGTGTCCCCTCAGCGATCTCCCCAAAGGCAGCTGGGGGGGTGCAGGAAGGCCAGTGGTGCCACAGCAGGAAAGTCTGCTTCGAAAGGTCTCCTGTAAGAAGGCACTGGCCCGGGTGCAGTGCAGAAGGGCTGCCTCCCAGAAGGCCGCGAGGAGACAGCCCCCCCCCGGCCGCATCTCCAGAGCTGGATGGAGCTGGAGGGCAAAAGCAGCCAAGACTCCCTGGCCGCAGCGGTCACTCCAGGACGGCCATCAGGAGGTGCAGCTCCCGGAAGGCACTGCCGTGGCGGCCACTGAGGCCAGACCGGTTCTTGATGAAAGTGCTGATGGCTTTCAGTTGTTTGTAGCACACGTGGCACTTCTGGAGCCTGGGTCGGGAAGAAAAGCAGCTGGCAAAAGGGTGCACCACTCTGGAGGGCTCAAATGTTATTGTGCTTATTTTTATAATGCACTGTCAGAGCGAAGAATTAATGAAGTAATGGTATTTAAATCATTAAATCAGGAAAAGTAAGTGTGTGAGTGTGTATGAGGGGCCGGCAACGTCAGGTGAACCTACAAATCCTCTTGAAGACAATCCCTCCTCACCCCGAAGGTCCTGCATTGACCTACTACTGAGATGAATTAGCAAAGAGAGGGCTGAAGGACCCGATGAGTCCCTGCCCAGGGGAAGGCAGCCTTCAAGGGGCTCTGCTCCCTAAATACTTAGTGCTTTAGCAGGTAGTGAGGGAGTAAGGATTCACCAAAGGCGAAAGGGCACGTGAGCACACAAGCCATTTGGAACTGCCTGTCGAGCCATCCAACTGTCTGGAAATTCCCCTTGTATGAGCTAAGAGGAGAGGCTCCTCATTACCTCTTCACACCAGGAGCAGGAGGAAGAAACTAAGAACATTTCTGTCTTTGAACCTGGGAGGCAAAACAATCTGGGGCTTTAGAAACTCATGTCGCCCTCTTTAGATATATCTTGGGAAAGAAGCTCTGGAAGTATCTTGCTTTCTGAGTTGGGGGGAGGGCAGGGAGCAAATAAGAACTTGACACCATCAGAAGCCTTGAATCAACCTTGGTAGGACATCTTTGGATCCCATTAGGTAGAGTGGAACAAGCGTGTGCAGGTCCTGACATTTCTAGTCTAAATCTGGAATTCACTTATGTTATGTGAGGGGCAGAATTACTGGAGGTCACAACTGGTTCACAGCATCCCAAGAGCAGAAGCCTGGTGGAAGAGAAGTGAAGACATGTTACCTCTCTTCTCGGGAGATGTCCACTCCCACCGACGGGGGTGCGGTGAGGATGTCCGTAATCAGGGGCAGAAACCTTTGCAGAATTAGCTTCAGGGATGCACAGCCTGTCTGGACATAACTGGCACAAGAGAAAGAGAACGGTGGAGGAGAAGAAACGGCTTCAAAACCCACCCCGTCCCCAAAGGATAAACGGGTGGAGAGAGAAAAGAAATGGAATCCCAACAGCTTTGGTCCTCCTCCTTTTCACAGGCTTGGCAGGGAGACCTCCTTTCAGCGTCCCCAGAGTATTGCCCAGTTCTTGTTACCCAGTGACTACTTGCTCAGCATCTTGACTGCAAACAGGAGGCCCTCTGCTGTCAAGGGCAGGAGCCGGAGCTTTTGACACAAAGCTCTTAGACACAAGGAGAACAAAGGAGATGGAGCTTTCGTGAAAGTGTTTTTAACGAACAGTGATAACTGTGGGGTCCTCGGTGCTCCCTGAGCTGGGTTGTTTGTATGCAGATCTTTCATTGCCCAACTAGGGACATCATCACAGCACAAGGAGCTTATGGAAAGCTTACGGCCAGAAGAAAGAGTTACCTTTCATATTTGCTTTGCAGAAGCTTTTCTATTTGTGGCAAGACAACCGTGCACAGATCCAGTTTCCAAAGAGATCTGGGAAAAGGAGAGAGGTTACACTGGACTATGGCATCCTTCACTTCTTGAATCCTCAGGCAGAGACTGCAAAACCTTGGCTGAAGCAGAGGACAGCCGAAGGCGAGATGGACTGTGCCAACCATTCAGACTGCAGATTATATTCCCACCAGGAATGAAAGCCTGCAGTGGCTTCAAGATCAGCCCCAGAATAGCACTCGGTGCCCTGAACCACCCACGGGCCCCTGGGTCCCTCCAGACAGGACAAGGAGAATAGATGGACCCCAGGAGAGCCTGTGGGGTCCAGAGCACGTTACGTGCCAAGGGAGCAATCCCACCTCTCACTATACCAGCTCAGCTAAACGCCATTCTCTGAAGCCTCCAGGGTTTGCAGGCATCGGTGCCCGGCCAGTCCCACCAACCCTCTCCCCGTGGAAGAAAAGCAGACTGAGACTTACGCCTTTTGGTTTACAATGTTCAGAAGGTCAACGATCACTGAGAGGTCATTGATGGCCACCGCAGAGTCTACCGAAGTCTGAGGAGAAACCACAATGGCGGAAGAGGATTATGACAAGGAACCTCAGTAGGTTGGTTGGTGGCAGGTGGGAACAGAGAGTAGTGTGACTCCAGATGTTGAACCACAAGTCCCAGCATCCTTCACCCTCTGATAGATTTGCTTCTGGAGATCAACAGCATCTACTTGGTCAAATAGAAGAGAAGCTGTGGGGTCCTTGGTGCTCTCTGAGCTTGGCTGCTTTCTTGCATACATGTCACTATCGAACTAGGTAACATCCGTGCCAGAAGGGACTGGGATTTGCTCTTGTCTTAAATAAATGAGAGTATTTTGTATATAAAATGAGAACAAACCCCACTCCCTTCAAGCACTGAGGCTGTGTGCGGAGAGCGGAAGCTGGCGCTGGACTTGGCCAGACCTGAGGCATCGTGACACGAGGTGAAGCGAGGCGAGACTGGCGGAGGAGCCTGGAAGAGCCAGCAACCTGAGTGCCACGAGTCAGCTGGTGTAAAGCTAGTTTGCTCACTGCGGAGCACCAGGATAGGCGCGTAAGCACCGAACAGAATGAACCAGCAATTTAGGCTGTCAGGACTGCACTGTGTGTCTAGCATGTGTAGATTTCCCTGACACTGTCTGCCATACACTAAATAAATAAATAATAATGGGGAAATTAACCCGTCTAGTGATAGGATGCTGGAGTCAATGGAGTCCTGTATGAAGGTGCACAGCGGTAAGAGCCTGGGACCCGGGTCAGAAAAACTAAAAGCACCCACCCAGCCCCAAACTCCATCCTCCAAGCTTGCCTTGATGTCCCCAGTACTCCACACCGCTCTCACAGTGTCCAAATTCTTATGGCGACTGGTCAGCACCACACACATGGTCTCGTGGCCCTTCCGGATCTGGGACAGGGCCTCCTCGTCTACGATTTCCGCTAGGCCCTGGTTCTTCACGGCCTGCAAGTGCAGAGGCAAAAGGGAAATACACCAAGCTAGATGGGAGGTGATCGTGAATGCTTGCAAAGGACTTTCCACCCTAAGAGCCATAACCTAAAGATGCATCCGAGTTTACGTTCTTTGTAGGTAACAGGATTGTGGCTTAGGAACAAAGCAGTTATTGAGGACTATGCAAACTGACAGAGGAAAAAAAATCTGTCCTGTTCCCTGAATCCCATAGAAAGATATCTCTGAGGGGGTCATAAAACAGGACAAATCAGTCAAGTTCTGCCTCCTGGTGATCAATATAAATAAAAACCCTGCCCAGAAAATTATACTGTTTTTTAAAAAGACATTCCTAAGAACTGATGCTGTTCCAGATTACAAAGTTGCCTTCTCCTTCCTTGGGTGTTTTCTACCCATACCTCACCCATTTTCAGAATAACAGAGTAACAAGATAACAGAGTTTGGAAGGGACCTTGGAGGTCTTCTAGTCCAATCCTCTGCTCAGGCAAGAAACCCCAGAACGTTTCAGGCAAATGGCTGTCCAGTCCCTTCTCAAAAACCTCCAGTGATGGAGCACCCACAACTTCTGTAGGGAAGGTGTTCCCCTGATTAATTGTCCTCACTATCAGGACATTTTTCCTTATTTCTAGGTTTGATTTCTAGTGTCCATTCATTGCTTTTTAAATACTAATATTTTACTGTTACGCTTATTTTACTGCTAATAGTTTACTGTTTACACCCTAAAGAATATTCGGCCTTTGGTCAAATCAAAACCTGCTCCCTAACTTAGCTGCTGACCAACTATTTCCTCTCTGTTTTGGCAAGCAAGAAACATACCGGCAGGAAGTCAGAGGCCTTCAGCCCAATAGGCTCATTCCTGGCAGCTGGAATCACCAACGGCTCCACTCGGGTTATTGGGGTTGAGGCAGCTATGGGCTGCCTCTGAACAGGGTCTGTCTGCTGTAAGGAAGGACAGGCTGGTCACCCAGGTTTCCAGGCAAAAAGAGAGAGAAAGAGAGGGGGAGGGAGGAAGACAGAGAGAGGGAGAGAGAGAGGGAGGGAGGGAGAGAGAGAGAGAAGCAACTCACAGCTTCCATGCAGGATGCTGATGGAGGCTGCCTCCACCCCCGAAGGAGCAGCCGTGATCCGGAGAACGAGGTGGCAAGGCACTTACCCCCTCCTGGCCTGGCAACGGGGACTCGGCATCTCCTGCTTGACCAGCCCGCGAGGCTTCTTTTGCAAGTGCTGCCTCTGGAGGGAGAGGGGAAAAAGGGTCTCTTGGGAGAGGCCAAAAAAACAACAACAACAAAAACCCCCAATGTTGCTGGGCAGAAGGTGGGCACAAGTGCTCTGGGGAAAAGTCCCAGTGCTTGAACTGTCTTAAACTTACAAAGGCGGTGCATAAAACGTAGCTTGACAAAAGTACATAAAATCACGCACTGCCTGATAAAAGCCGGTGAGAAGTTTTCACTCAGCCCAATTCTTAGGCATTTCTTCACAGAGCACATGGCACATTGTGGAATTCAGTCCCACAACACAGGACGAGGGTCCCTGGGAGGAGATGCCACTGACTCCTGGAGCAAAATCCCAGCACAGGGACGACTATCAACGGCTGCAGTCAGGGAGGCAGATGCCACCCTCTGAATTGCTGTAGAAACCAGAGCGGAGCCGCAGGGCGGGGGTCCTGCTCGGGTGCTTCCCCGAGACCCCCGCTGCTCCCAGGCGCCTCCGAAGGCCGAGCTACAAAGGGAAGCCGCTGCCCCCCCTTGTCCTGGACAACCCTGAACTGACTCCCCTCTGGGCACCTTGGGAGCAAAGAGCCAAACCGTCCACTCTATCGAATGCCCCCCCCCATTATTTTCATTGACTGCGAGGAACACCAAAGGTCAAGCCCCCCCCCCCAAGAGCTCCACCCAAGAGGCATCAGGAATCTCGCGAAAGCCCTTCGGGGCGCTCCGAACTCACCGTCTTCCGGAGGGGCAGGGAAAGGCTCGCTCTTGCTGGGGGGAGTTCGTGCTACAAAGACAAAAGCCCAATTTCAACTGAAATGTTTTCCTCTTTCATAAGGTTACAGAAGAAACGGCATTTTTCTGGGTTTCTGCAGCTTGAGTCCAATGCAACACTCGGTGACCCTGAGGGGCTCTTCCCACTTTCAGGATGACCGGAGAGTCTCCCCAGACCCTGTGCACAAGGAGCTCGGCAACAAAAGCTCCAACTCATTGCCAGCCAGTGCACTGAGGAGCAGTGAAACCCTTGCTAAGGACCTCTCTCGCCGTCAGAATAACTGCTGGGTCAGCTCTTTTGCCGCACCCTGGAGACCCAAGATGGGCTCTTGCAAGGCCCTGGAGGCAGGAGTCTACAAGGCAGCCACAGAGTTTGATGGAACAGGCATTCTTAGCAGCTTCATAAAGCTGAGGCTGTACACATTGGAAAGATTTATGCGCAGATTTTGCCCAACCCAAGAATGTTCACCCAACTCACTGATAGAGTTCTTTGGCTGGAATATCTCTTTGTAATCCTCCAAGTTCTGGATCTCTGCAGTGGATTCCCTTTCCTCCCTGTCATCCTCACTGCTTGGACTGCGCCTCTCGCTCTCCGAGTTGTGCTTCACTCTGGGGCGTGAGAGACCGAGACGGGGACCAGTAAGCTGAGCCTCCACCCCCCAGAGGCCTCTGCTCACCCGGCCTCCCCCAAAGTGCCCCCCCACCTCTGGGGCTTGCTGCAGGAGGTGGCTGGCCTTTCATAGATGCGTCGCAGGGAGGAGCCCAGAGATGGGGGCGGGCTCAGCGGCTTGTCATCTCTGATCAGTCCATGGAGTCCAGACCCACATTTTGTGATTTTGCTGAGGTCCACAACGTATGATGAGACGGTGCTTTGGGTAAAAGAAACGCCAATCTAAAGAAAGAATCCGTATTCTTAGATTGTTAGGTATTTGCAAGGACCATCTAGAAAAAGATCCGGTGCTGCTGCGTCAGGTTGGCTGCCCTTCCTCCAAGCTCCCTGGAGAAGAACTGGGGCTCTGGGCCAGGTGTTGCCACGAGAGGGAAGGGAGGCTCCCTGGCAAGCAACAAGGTGGGCAGAGCCCTGCCACTCCTGCCCCGGCCCCCTGGGAGCCCTTTGAGGGGGGGCGGCACAACAACGGAGCCAGAATCAGTCAGAAATCCTCCACTCACCAACTGATTGTTACAGATGGACAAATCGGCCACTTTGCCCCAGTTCACCAAAACCACTTCAAAGCATCGCTCGGGCTCCCAGCCATAGACTCGCAGGGCATCCTGGCTGCCAGCGTACAAGCAGCAGCCATCAGGGTTGAAAAGCACACACCTGCAGGGGAGGAGAGGCAGCAACACGAGTGCCCCCAAATTGGGAGGAAAGCCTAAAATGGGCCATCTGAAGCCCTGAATGGGCGGAATCCCCTGAACTAACCACTCAGCGCCATTCCTGCTGACAAACACCTGTTGCCTCTTACCTGACAGGCGTGGCCTCTTCCTCAATGCAGCTCACTGTGTGGAACTTCTCCAGGTCCCAGAATCTGACTGTCCTAGATGAAAACAAAAAAGCAAAGACACCGGAAGTCTTTCCAATCCCATCTTCTTTCGTCACTCTTTGCTTCCAGCCCAACCAGCAGCCGGGCTCCGTCTCCCAGCTCCTTTTACATCTCATTTCTCTATTTCTGGGATATGAAGGCGAGCAGCCACTTGCTTTAGGAGACCACAAATCACCAGGAAAGATTTTACACACTGACAACTTAGCAGGCCAGTTAAACATCAACACCTCTGTTTATGCCAAGCAGTTATTGAACCCTGAGAGCTGTTCAGGGATTCTACATTTCCACAGTAGGGAGGGAGGGAGGGAGGGAGGGAGGGAAGGAAGGAAGGAAGGAAGGAAGGAAGGAAGGAAGGAAGGAAGGAAGGAAGGAAGGAAGGAAGGAAGGAAGGAAGGAAGGAAGGAAGGAAGGGCAGCAAAGGAAGAAAGGCTGGGTTTCAGCACAAAGAGGAGACCAGCTCCAGGACCAGATATAACATCTCTCAGGAGTTTCATGGAGGCTTCAACACTATGGAAAATATTATGGGGAACTCAAGAGGGCAAATCCTGACTTCCTTCTGAAGCACCAGCTTCCAGACTGGTGAAAAAAGCCTTCCCTAAAAGCAGGAACGTCTTCCACGCACAACGTCAACAACAATTCAAAGCCTGCATGCCACACCACCGAGGGCTTGTGAGATATTCTAACAAGCCCTCAGCAAATCTTCCACTGGTTTCTTGACACCTCATGACAGCCCCAGCGAGAGCTAATTCTACCTGTCGGAGCTCCCCGAGGCCAAAAGGTACTCGTTGGGGTGGAATTCAATGACGTTGACAGGTCCGGTGTGTCCTGTGAACTCGAACATGATCTTCCCAGCAGCCAGGTCCCACAACTAGGCAGGAAAGAACCACAAAAGCTTTTCTTGCCAGAGTGCTAACAAATTTCACACCCATCAGCCAAGCTGTTCAACGGCCCAGGCTGCCATCGGAGGGAGGGGAAGAGGAGAGGGCCAGGGGGCATGTCTACCTTCACTGTGTGGTCATCAGAGGAAGATGCCAGCCACTTCCCATCCGGACTGAAGCGGAGACACCGAACCGCTCCTGTGTGGCCCTGCAAAGTGAAAACGGGTTTGCATCCTGCCTTTCCTCCTTCAAGAGTCCAAGGCAACGTTCGGAACACTTGCTTCTCCCATCTTTAGACAACTGCAGCCCAACGAGAGAGGTCGGGCTGGGAGAGAAGGGGTTTGTTTGTTTTCCTTGAAAACATTTCGCTTGTCATCCAAGAAGCTCCTTCAGTTCTAACTGAATGGTGGGGAATGGAAGGGTTTATATTCTTCGTAGTCAATCTGGCCTAGTTTGGCTGTTAGGTTTCTGAGAGTTGTTGAGGCCGTTTCGGGGTATATCTGAATATTGATCATTCCAGATTCATAAAGCTTTTCAAATTGTCCCAGTAAATATTACGCATTGCACAAATGAGTTTCACGATACTAGGTGAAATAGAGCAAATTTTTCTTCTTACCTTGTACCTGAAGACACAACTTTTTTTTCTTACATCCCAAAGCTGCATGAAAGAAAAAATACCATCTTTTAAAAAACAAAACATTTAACTGTCCTAATCAATCAAGGTTTGCCTTAACATTAAGAAGTCCCAATTTCTGACTTGGGACAGAGCAACTGTTTCATAGCATGGAGGTAATAGAATTTGAAAGGGAAGCATCTCTCCCTTTTTTATGGAACTTTCTGCATTCCTCTCCTCCTCCTCCTGACTTTTGATAACGGTGCACAGATCTGGCTGCAGCTTCTACAAATGGGTGGCTATCACCATGTTGGAAGAAAAGTATCATTTGTTCAGGGTTCCGCAGAACAATATTCATGTCTCCCAGATCGCTGGGCACTTTTGGAAAGAGGAAATCTGCCAAGTAGCAAAACTCTACCCCATCTTCGTTTCATGAAGAAATAAAGACTACAACAGGGCGACCAAGAAACTGACTGAAATTCAGAAGTGGCAAAAGAACACACAGAAAACAAGAACTGCAAGCAGCTACTTGGGTATACTAACCATTAATTGGTTTCATCTGCTTCTGCCCACCACAACATTCATCATCATTCTGCAAGACCACGCAGAGAGAGACAGATGTATGGGCCTTACCTTGATGTTGGTGTCCATGGACCCTGAAGCTACGAAGCCTCCATACGGATGGAAATCAAGGCTGCAAATATTGGCTTTATGACCCATTAGTGTACGGAGGACTGAAGAGGAAATTCAGGGAAACAAAATTATGATTTAAAAAGATGTTATTCTGCCAGTGATAAATGCATGTAAGATAGCGTGGCTGGTATAATTTTGTGTTTTGTTTAGTTAAATTTTATTTTTAAAATAATTTATTATAAATTTAAATCAGTTTCTTAAAGGGGAATCTGTATGTCAGATTAGGATCATTTTTCCATAACAGAAGAAATCAGTGGGGAAGGATATTAAACCTTTATAAACTTGTTAGAGGAGGCCACATATTGTGGGCAAAACTGAACTGAATGCCACACAAACAGGACTTATTTCATTTAATAGATTAGTGATAAAAACTTTCAGCTCCAACTCCTTAGTCAACCGACTAATCAAACCTAGCAGGCAACAGTCAAATACTGAAAGGATTTTACAGTAGTGGAAAAAATAAGTCAGTTGCAGAAGCTGTTCTCTTCCACGTGGCTCCAGAGTCTGGTTCCTCCCATTAGCGTGGAGGTAAATCATAAGGAAAGCAAACCCACTTCAGCTCTTGGTTGCTGTGACTGACTTTCCAGATGCTTGTAGGCAGTGCCAACTTTTTCACTCAACAAGAGCAATACTTCTGCCTAGACATCATTTGCCTGACCCCAGAAAAAGACAGGGGGGCAAGAAACTGCACGACCTGCAGGGGAGCCAGTCTGGTGGGCAAAATTGTCCCTGACTCCACGTCCCCTTTTAAGTGCTGAATTATGTGTCTATACTGTAAATATTTATTAAATGAGATCCCAATCTATGTACTATGTAACTTTTCTCTATTGCTTGAAGGAAAACCAGTTCTGTTAATAATGGCACTTTTAATTAAGATCTAATTCTGAATAAGATCACCAATCAGTTTCAATAAATATCTCTGTGAAATGGAAAACCTAAGGACCATGTGCATTTTTCTCACATTATGATTTCTTAAGGCAAAGCTACTATGTGGCCAGAAAGGAAATCCAGTTCTCATACAGAACAGACCAAGATAATAATAATAATAATAATAATAATAATAATAATAATAATAA